ATATGTGTCACTGTACGCTGCTAAATGGAACTATGAATCTGAACGCTAGGAAATCGGCAACTGTGGTGATTGGAGAATCCAAAAACTCGAGAGATCTACTCCACCAGTCAAGAAGATGGTAGTCTTGGAGAGATAGTGCCCGACAAAGACATCTACCACCACCTAGGCATCCTCCGCTCAGTGTCGACATCCACTCTCCAACGAACTACTGAGCGATGCAGTGCAGGTAGAAGTTATTTTTTCAGCTTGGAATGCCATTGGGGCCCCGCTCGGTCGCCTACCACCCTGCAACCAACTCTCCGGCCTACAAGACCCTTTTGCATAGCTATCCTCCTGTACGGTATCTGAATTATGGCACATCACCAAGACAGAATTGCTCCTGCTCGAGAGAGTCCATGCAGAAGAATATTGAGACACTTCTCGGCCTCCCCTGAACTCCTATTCTCTTTCTCACGGTTACCCTCCGACTCACTCCCTGTCCAGCTACTGCGCATACGTCTGGAGACCCCAACCAAACTGGGTTATACCCACACTGCAGAACACCACGTGGCTCTATGGATTCCCCCCCCTACCAACATCATACTTGTGGCCATTGGAGCCAAGGTGGGTGGAAGAGGACTGTCAGACGTCTGCTGCTGGCTGGTAAGCAGTATGCAGACTTCACCTCTGACTGCAGTCACCTCCCTCTATCTGAATGTGTCTGAGCTGAAGCTGGGCAGGATCATCCCCCACCTCTTAGCTGTGCGGGTTCCCACGTGCCACGAACTGAACATAACGCGAATCCGATTGCTAGTGAACTGCCATGGTCTCGGGTGACAGATACAGCAGATCCGGAACAACGTTCCAGACCCAACATGCAAGCTATGCGGATCGGACAGAAGACACTACTCACTTTATATCTCACTACCCCGCCCTCTCTCTGCCCGTATTCTCCCGCCTCTGCTGGCGGCCCACACCTAGCGCCGTTTATTAGACTCAGACCGAACGTTTGCGGAACACATCCTGGGAATTCGCTGGATCGAGGATCTCCGCCACTTCAGAGAGAGATCGTTGTGTTTCTTACAATCGTTTACACTCCGAGCATCACCGTCAACTACTCGCCCTCATATAATTGCCTACCCCACAAACAGGCCCTCATTCACTCCTTCATCTCCTCACATCCAGCACCATCCTGGACTCTTGTGGCATGGGCTCTCTACATGACTGAGTGGGACGAGGGTGACGGCAGTAGTCTCAGAGCATTGGATCACCTGCAGCAGCTGTTCCCCACTGGTACAGTGGACTTTCTTGGTTGGTTGACACTCCCTTCAACATGTACACTTTACTCCCATGCAGGAAGATTCCGCTCCAAACAGATCTACGAGCAGGAGATGAAACGAGGCCACATTGAGCTGGACCTGGACAAAATGCTGCTGTTTGGCACGGCTGGCAGTGGCAAGACGTGCTCCCTCGCTGCACTGCTCGGAGTGGACCCTCCCACCATCCGACACAGCACTCCAGTCATGAAAAGACCCATCGAGGTCGTGTTCGTGGACGTCGACGGCAAAAAACAGTGGAAGAAACGAACATTAGACCAACTGCCAGACGCCATCGCTGAAGTAATGCGGTCGCGAATGCCACGGCAACAGTCAGTGGCACAGAGCAGTGGTGGCCCAGCCTCCCCCGACCAGCAGTCTCCCCACACCGCAGCCAGCCAGTCAGCTCAGCCAACTCCAGAGAAGAGGAGTAGCTCCACGTCTGAAGCAGCCGGGAAGAGCACAGCATCCTCGGAGGAGAAGCCCAGCGCCAGGGAGCGGCAGGAGGCAGAAGGGAGGCTGGATTCCCTGCTGCTGTCGAGTGCGGTGGACGAGGGGTTTGTACATCTCATCAACAGTGCTCCTCCCTCCCTGGAGCCCATCCTGCGACTGAAGCAGTTCCTCGTGCTGGACTCTGGCGGCCAGCCCGAGCTTCTGGAGATGATGCCCGTCTTCCTGAGGGGTGCGTCCAAATTCGTCTACGTCTTGAAGCTCCACGAGTCTCTTGACAAGCGAGCGACGATCCGTTACTTCAAAGACGGCAAGCTAGTGTGGGAGTACCCAGCCTACCTGACCAACGAAGGGACCCTGAGACTGTGCGTGCGGACCATGAGGTCCCTGAACAACAAGAACCCCGACATCCCTCCCGCCAAAATGATGTTTCTGGCCACCCACCGAGACATGGTGGCAGACGAGCAGCTGCCCGGAGTGCTGGACACTCTGCACAAGAGGCTGAGGGAGATCCTCTTGCCTCAGTTCAGGGAGCAGCTCATCTACTGCGATACCAAACGGGACGACTTTGTCTTCACACTGAATGCAGCAAAGCCGGAGAAGGAGGACAGGGAGTGTGCGGAGAGCATTCGGGAGTGTCTTAGTAAGGAGGGGGAGGGGGGAAGGGAGGTGAAAGTGCCGTTGCGATGGTACGCTCTGTACCAGAAGCTGCTGGAGGTGGCAAATGAACTGGGGAAGAAGGTGCTGCCTCGAGAGCTCTGCCAGAAGGTGGCAGAGTCGATGGAGATGGATGACGAGTCGTGTGGGGAAGCCCTGAACTTCTTCGACGGTCTGAACATGCTTTTCTACTTCCCCGACATCCTGCCCCAGCTGGTGTTCATGGAGCCACAGATGTTGCTGGATAAGGTCTCGGAGCTGGTGGAGGAGACCTACCACATGAGGCAGGGAAAGAAAGCCGTGCCGGGGGAGAAGCTGAGGTTCCGTGACCACGGTGAAGTGACGGAAAAGTTTCTGGGCGAGTTCGAGAGCCACTACGAGCCACCTCTGTTCACACCCAAGGAGCTGGTGACCCTGCTAAAGGGGTTGCTGGTGTTTGCGGAGATGTCGGAGGACGTGTACTTCATGCCGTGTCTGCTGCAAGTGGTGGCGTGGAAGGTGGTGGAGGAACACCGAGTGAGTGGCGGGAAAGCCCTGGCTCTTCACTTCCCCGACAGCGGTCCCCTAATGGGAACATTCTGTTCCATTGTAGCTTACCTCCTGTCCCCCGAAAACAGTCACCCCTGCCCCTGGAGAGTGGTTCAGAACGAGGCAGGAGCTCCGGAATGCCTCCATCGCCACGTCATCAAGTTCACCGTGTTCATATTACGCAGGCGCCGTTTTCGCTCATCGATCACTAATCCACCCAAACCCCCCCCCCCCCCACACCCCAACCCACCCCCCAACACCACAACCCACCAACTTCGACACCACTACCAATTTACACAACACCAAGGCAACCACTAGTACTGTTGACAAACTGCCCACACCCCCCACACACCCCCCAAGACGACCCCCAGTCCCCGTTTGCAGTTCCTAACAAAAAAGCCATGAAGACCACCAATCGGCTTAAAACAAACAAACACTCCAGTCCCGCCTCGTATGCCCCCGCCCACCCCCCCCCCCCTCCGCCCAGCAAACCCCACCCTGCCACTGTTGACAAGGACAGAGTGTGGACATTGCTCATGACTCTGAAAGTTGGAGACGTTGACGAGGACTCTATTCCATGGCTGACCCTCTGCAACGTCTACTGTGAGTGTGGAGTCCACCCACTGAGGGCTCTAATTGAATAGTCTCATTGTGCTTTTCTCTTTCCTTTCCCCTACATGCTGCTGAGTCAGCCACGTCCTCTCTCTCTCCTCTTCATCTTCTGCAGTTTCCCCACACTCCCCAGCCTCCCCTCTCTGTCTCCACAGCTCCTGCCTCCTCTACCACTGCCACCACTACTACCAACACTCCTGGTGAGTCCTTGCATCTCTATGTGCCCTATTTTGATACTCATTCTTTCATTCATGTTCCTCTACAGTGTCAGAGTGTTTCATAGTCTCCTCCACTACTGCCTCTGTTCCCCTCTCCCTCCCTCCTCCTCCTGTCTCCACTACCACTACCAACACTCCTGGTGAGTCCTTCACTCTTTGTATGGACATCAAGCAGCTTTACTGCTTTCATCACTACACTCTACTCTCTACAGTCAGCCATCTGTCTCTACCTCCTCCACTACTGCCAGTGTCTCCACAGCTCCTCATCCTGTCTCCCTCCAGTCCTGGTGAGTCCCTCTTCGAGAGCATTGCTGACTGTGCCGTCTCTGTCTCTCTATACTCAGTCCATCGAGTGTTGCCTCACCTCCTCCACTACTGCCACAGCGGCTATCCCTCTCTCCTCCACTGCTAGCACCACTCCTGGTGAGCCTCGTTTAGAAACAGTCTTCCCTACCACCACATGAGTGTGTGTATGCATCTATACCCCTAATGTATTTACTGACTCTTACCTTTAGTTGTTTGCTCTCTCTCTCTCTCTCTCACTACTTTCTTCGCAGGTGATGTGTCTGTCGACCCACTCTGCCAGAGCTACTTCGTCTGGAAATCCCCGAGGGAATTGCACAAGCTACACCACATTTGGAATCTTCCTCCTCAACTGACGAGACGGGGATAAAGTGACATCATCGAGGACGAACACCGTGGGAATCCAAAGAGGATTTTCTCGCAGCATTCTGGGGGAGTGGCTCAGAGGAAAGGGACTTCCCGTGACGTGGGAGACTCTGGTCAAGGCTCTCAGAGACACCAAACTTTTTTGCTCTCGCTGACAAAGTCCAGGCCGCAAATTGTAACCACACCACTGTCCTCATCTCTATACCACACTCACTTTCTTCTCATCTCTATACCACACTCACTTTCTTCTCATCTCTATACCGCACTCACTTTCTTCTCATCTCTGTGTTTTGTATACTGCAGTCACTTTTGACATAATTATTGTTTGTGATGTGCAAAGCGTCCAAAGCACTTCCGAATAACGTATTCATTACTGCTGTGGTTTGTCCACATGCATTCCACCACCAGGAGCTGTAGTATGCAGTAGTCAGTTGGTATTGCATGCAGGGAATCTGCAACATAGCCTATAGTGTCATAGTCATGTGACCCATCTTGTCTTGAGTCACTCCATTGACAAAACCAGGTCCCATAGTTATGTATGTACATAGGCTCAAACTGCATGGTACAACTTGCCTCTCGTTTCAAAGCGATTGTCTTTCAAAAGCCTAGGAACAAGGTCGCCATTATACACATCCATCCACACAGCCTTCGTGTGTATTATCTGCATTTACTATCTTGTGTTTTGCACTAATCTGGCATATTATGATCACTCAACACATACCAGTAATCAATGCATTTACTTAGATACGTGTCAGACAGCTACATCTCAGGGCCCCTAAATCACGTATTTCCATTGATGAATGAACTAGCGTCTCAATAGCAAATATCATTACAGAGAGGGACACACATATAATTTGTGTCTGTAATTTCAACAGTGTGTGTGCGTGAGTGTTACTCTATTACCAGCTGAGGCGTGCTGACTTAACTAGTGGCTAGAGCTTGAATCATAGTACAGCAAATGGTGTGTTGAGGAGACAGAGAGAGGAGAGAAGGAAGGAGAGAGAGGAGAGGAAGAAGATTGTTAGCCACACTCAGACAGCCTTGTCAAACACCTCATCTTAGGAGATGGAGGGCAGTCCTGCATAATGTGGAAGACAGGGTCGGAGAGAGTAGAAATTAATGATGGTTGGTAAACTACAGGTATACTAAAATCAAAGCATTCGCAAGCTAACACATTTAACTGTGTTAAAATCAAACAGAAATCACGCAATCCCGTGACAACACTCCCCCACTAGAGGTCAAGAGGTGACTCACGCTATAAAGAGTCTTCCTGCTGTCGACTGCCTGAGGGGAATCCCCTCCCGTCTCCCTGATCGGCCGCGGACGAGGCCACGCCCTCTTCTCTCACGGCAGACGGTGTTCTTCTTCCCAGAGAGTTCATCAGAGTTGTCTGTGCAGCCTGCAGGGGAGGCAGTTTGAACTGCTAGTGGCCAGTTTATACAGCAGAAACTCTGAAAAAAGGACTACTCCAAATAAAGAACACCACTCGATAAAGGACAATTGACTAGCCCTAGCTACTTCCTGAGAGGGCTTGAGGGCTTTGTAATGCATGTGGGTGGATTTCATGGGTGAGCTGTCAAACCAACTGACTCCAATTGATGCACATGGGTGGCAAGAGCAGTGCAGGAAATGGTGCTACGGTCACTTAGAATTGATTCTACGAGAATTAGAAGACATGAAATTAGTCTTGAGTGAGCTCTGATGTGTCACTCATACATGTACGTGGGCAGGTCCTACTAATGTATGTAGATATGTAGGAAATGACGGATCATTGAACATACGTATGTGTAGGGAGGTGACACATCAACATGTACTGAGTTCTTCCACCACTACTGGTGTGTCATGCCACATTAGAAACTCCACTCACCTGTGGAAGACCAATTTCTGAGAAGTCTTTGTCACTCATCAACAACAGAGCTTCCAGATCTATTTCATTGGACTGTGGAGGAAAACACGCAGTCACAAACATTCAGTTGAGGCAGTTGGCTGAATCACTCATACAGAGCAAGGCAGAGCACTCTGTGTTCCAGAGAGGGCTCTACCAACTGAGGCAGCTCAGCTGGCTGGGCTGGATCACTCATACAGAGCAAGGCAGAGCACTCTGTGTTCAAGAGAGGGCTCTACATTGTCAACTACAAACCTGAAAAAGCTCCATGTGTTCAGTAAGCCCAACCCTTGCGAGCAGGCTCTGCAGAGTGTCTTGTGATGTAATGGTGATGTCATTGGAATTGTGAGACTGTTGTGAGGTTTTCACAGAGTCTGGCCATCTGTGGGGGTCAGAGGTCACTGAAGCTCCGCCCACCTGTTGCGACCAATCGGATTCTTCATGAGATCCTGAAATGGAAGAAGACCACATTGAAAACACTGGAACACATTCACAGAGTAAAGCAAGGTTCAAGGTTCAAGAACATCGCATTGTCCGCGGATGTGAGGACATAACCCATTTCCTTCTTTGCGGGCAACAGGGCAACAGGGCAATGCGACGTATTGTGAAATGCAGCGTAAGCGATGTTTGACAGAAAGGCAGTCTATGAGTAATTCGTGGACAGTGTGTCAACTCAAGGCAAGTGTATACTTCCAAGACACCCAACAAAACAGAACGCATGAAGTAAGCACACAGTACAGGTGGTGGGTATGTTGGTGTAGATTGTGATACTCACCAGTGCTGCCAGAGTAGCTCCACACACTGGACGGATTGATACCTGTACAAAGAGAGAAGATTATGGAGGGAAATTTAGTTTCAGAGAAACTACTAATGTGTGAGTACTACTAGAGGAGGAGAATTTCAGAGAGACTACTAATGTGCCCAGTACTACGAGAACAAAAGCAACACTTTCCTGCTTTAACCATGAGGCATTATCGATACAGCTGCAGTGTTTCGGAGATCTATTTCATTGGACTGTGGAGGAAAACATGCAGTCACAAACATTCAGTTGAGGCAGTTGGCTGAATCACTCGTACAGAGCAAGGCAGAGCACTCTGTGTTCTAGAGAGGGCTCTACCAACTGAGGCAGCTCAGCTGGCTGGGCTGAATCACTCGTACAGAGCAAGGCAGAGCACTCTGTGTTCTAGAGAGGGCTCTACATTGTCACAACTGAGCTACTGAGATTATTGTCATCTACAAACCTGAAAAAGCTCCATGTGTTCAGTAAGCCCAACCCTTGCGAGCAGGCTCTGCAGAGTGTCTTGTGATGTAATGGTGATGTCATTGGAATTGTGAGACTGTTGTGAGGTTTTCACAGAGTCTGGCCATCTGTGGGGGTCAGAGGTCACTGAAGCTCCGCCCACCTGTTGCGACCAATCGGATTCTTCATGAGATCCTGAAGTGGAAGAAGACCACATTGAAAACACTGGAACACATTCACAGAGTAAAGCAAGGTTCAAGGTTCAAGAACATCGCATTGTCCGCGGATGTGAGGACATAACCCATTTCCTTCTTTGCTGGCAACAGGGCAATGCGACGTATTGCGTAACACAGCGTAAGCGATGTTTGACAGAAAGGCAGTCTATGAGTAATTCGTGGACAGTGTGTCAACTCAAGGCAAGTGTATACTTCCAAGACACCCAACAAAACAGAACGCATGAAGTAAGCACACAGTACAGGTGGTGGGTATGTTGGTGTAGATTGTGATACTCACCAGTGCTGCCAGAGTAGCTCCACACACTGGACGGATTGATACCTGTACAAAGAGAGAGATTATGGAGGGAAATTTAGTTTCAGAGAAACTACTAATGTGCCAGAACTACTAGAACAAAAGCAACACTTCCGCTTTACCATGAGGACAATACGGTACAGCTGGCAGTGTTGGATAGATATTATCTCGCATTGTCATGACCCCCATGTGTAATTATAAGAATATTATTCTTGCTTCGCCGGCCAGTAAACTACAACCTTGTCAGACTGACCTGGAGCTAGCATAGGAAAACTGGATCCAGAGTCAGTGGAGACGGATGTTGAGCCACTCCCACTTGCCACACCCCCTAGCCCCGCCCCCTTGTGAGCCCTCTCCGTCCCAATGGGGAGGAGACTCTCGTTGGCTCCGCCCAGCTGTTCCTGTGGGGCGGAGCCTGTTGTAGTAGGCGGGGCACTCGGGAAGACGGACGGTCGGACCATCATGATAGCTGCGGGGTAGGAGGTCGTTGTCATGGGAACAGTAGAGGGAGGGCCCGACGACCTGTCACTCATGGGGAGGAAAGTTGGGAACAGATCGAGGTTGCCCCCCGAGAAATTGCCAAGAATTGACCCTGACGAGGTGGGCGGGGCTGGTTCCGGTACCGGTCTCAGACCAGGCTGTGAGGGTTGCAGCCCCATTCCAAACACGTTTCCCGGCCGCACGAGTTGCGGGTGGGAGGGCATGGCTTCAAACGAACCCCCGGATTCGGTGGTGGTGATCATCATGGGGGGCAGGGGAATATTGGTTCCCCCTGTTGTTACCCCCAGAACGGGGTCCGCGGAGTCAGGATCCGATTTCCCAACTCTCATGAGGGGGACTCCGAATCTTGAAATTTCACTCGAACCCCCTGGTGGGGGGCCCCCTTGATTTAACATAGTTTGTTGGGAGATAGGGCTCGGTAGAAACTGACCTCCCTCCAGCGGACCTGGTAAAAATTCCTTTGTGCTCGTGAAATTTTGACTGGGTTGCCTGACAAAATTATGTTGGTGTTGGGGGTTTCCGGGGAAAATAATGCCAAAGGGGGGGCATTGGTGGTTGTAGAACTCCATGTGCAGTTTGGGTTCCCTCGAATTGTCCAAACATTGGTTGTGATGGGGGCTTCGGGGGGAAACTTTGTTGACCGGGAGGAAGAGCTGGTGGGGGGTTGAAAATGTGGGGATTGATTGGCGGAGTGGGGGGCTGCCCCAATATTGATGTCTGGCCTCCGCTGGGGGGAGGCTGCGGCGGCTGCGAGGGGTGAATATTGGGCCCCACCATTCTCGGTCCCCCGCCAATTGGAGGGGCGGAACCCAATATCGAAGACCCGACAGGGGGCGGTGGGAAGTTCGTCAGTTTTGAAATTGGAGGTGCTCCAAGTATAGAACTTGTGGGCGGAGGCTGGGGGGAAGACGGAAATATTTGAGTTTCCTGCTCATATTTTGGGCAGTGCATAGCTACAAGTCTTACAGAGAAACTGATTTCAGGTGTACAGAGAATTTTGTGTTTAGTTTTTTATTGAACAATATTTGCCTAAGTTACTCCTCTCTACTGTCTCCACTTACATTGGCTGGTCTCTGCACTCCTGGAAGACCCATGGGTACAAAGGTCGGGGCATTGGGGTTGAACCCCTTTGAAGCAGGCGGGAGTTGAGGTGGGCTCTTATTGGGAGAGATCTTGTCAGGCGAGGTGTTGAGTGGTTGGACAGGACTGGCAGGTTTCTGAGCCTGTTTGGTGGGGTGGATGGGGGACTGATGCATTCCTGGGGAAAACATAGACAAAGACAATAACATACAATACGAGTAAAATTTGGTGGCAATTAAAAAAAATTTGGTGATTTGCAATGAATCGGTAGCATACGATTAAAATGCGACAAACAATCTTTGCATCATTTCGTCGTAAATGTTGTCATGTGATGCATGGTAAAGATTTTTGTAGGATTAAAGTGAAACTGATATTATCCGCTTCAGTTATCAGCATAGCTAAATGCTGCACTTTGAAAAGGTAACTTGCCAGTCCTTCATGAAGGAGCATTCTCCCATGGGACAGTGGTGCCATGTTTAGATGAGGAGTCCACATGCCAGTAGCAATGGGGAACAGAGAGGAGAGATCCAGCCAATAGCCTTTGCTCTCACTAACAGACACAGGCATCGACAACACTGACACAGGATTGGCCAGTGCTGCGTGCAGAACCTTTGATGAATCAGCTGAATGCCCTGGGGGTATGTGCAGTTACGTAGCTCTTCAACACATCATTTTATGTGATCCTCATACTTCTTAAAGGGAATGTGGAGGTACATAAGGGCTGAAATGTTACCAAAAACAGAACCTAATTCATTTGTGCCTCTATTGTTTGTTCCATCTTTTCAAAATTTAGGCCTCTTTAATAGCCTACACGTGCACGTACCAGGTCCAATGGAGGTGGATGCTATGAAATTGCCTGTATCCAAAGGTACTCTCCAGTGAGAAAGCAATTCTGAGAACTCCCTTCCTCTCACATTGACCTTCTCCAGATCCAATTCTGTTGGAGTGCCTCTTGATGGTCCCTGACAACAAACTTGTACTCTCATCGTTGGTAATACAAAGGGACAAAACACACACTTTACACACACCTTCAAGGCAACAGGTAAGTGATGACAATCAAGAGTCATAGCATTATCAGTTTTTACAATCCACTGGCCAATTTGCTGGAGAGCCGGTAACGGATATCTGGAAATCAGTCACGTCATGAAAATCAACACACGACAAAGTTGTTGTCCAAGTTATTTTTTTTGAAACATGCATCATACATACAAACATATACATAGACTGTGCACATAGACTCTGCAGCTAGCAGCCAAGTGTTCCCAGTGGACCTTACTGCGGGGAGAGTCGAACACTGCTGGAGGAGGCCCCAGCCGGGATCCCATGCCTGTGGAGAACTCTCATGATCACCTGAAGCAGGTCCGGGTTGTGGGTGTCAAAATCAAACACGTTCCGTGCAACACTTGACACTCCCTCATGTGGAAACTCCTAAATGTAAAAAAAGCCGATCATCACCCTATTAGAAGTATTTTCAATTAAGTGTAATCGCTCGTGCATTATGTAATCTCGATTGTTATCATTCTGTCCTCCGCACTAAAGACTAAACCGTATAATGCACTGCATAGTTTGGTCTTAAAAACCAGCAAATAACTACTAATATGGGGTGTGTACACAAGTTGAACTAACATGGGCAGAGTCAGTTGCCATAATTATAATACTTGGAGGTGTTTGACGATAGCCACGACTTCCCGGGTGGAGTAGGGGTACGCAATAAGGCCCTCATCTGCCATGGCTCTCAGCTCAGAGAACGCTCCAACCAGTTTCTCAAGCAGGTGCTCCGGAACATCTCTCCCATACTGCCTCAACATTGCCTGTAAAATTAAGACCCTACACACACTCATCCCAATTATCTTATGGAAACCCTCCATTTCATTTATGAACCTCTCTTTCCCACTAAGGCTCCTCTCTGGAGGCACGGCAGCGGCACTACTGACAACATCTCCCTAATAACAAAGCCTTTGGCTGCTAGCCTCCCATACGTAACAAACATGTTCATAACAGCGGTCGCTCTTGTATCACCAGTCATCCCCTAAAGGTCACCCTTCCCTGAATTTACTGAAGTACTGGCTCCACTTCAACAATAATCCTGTGCCACTACTTTAACAACTATCTCGGAGACTGTGAGCTGCGGAAATGCGGGCGGAAGCATCGCCAGACCCCCTCTGGCATTATTTGGGCTCGGCCCTATTAACCTTACGGTTGGGTCTCATAAGAAAATATGGGACTATATCCTTATCCCAGTTTTAAACTCATGCTATGACGTAAAAACACAGTACATCACACACTTACAAGTTCGGACTCCAGGTCAGGGTTATCAACAGCATGACAGCTGAACATATCACCTACAAATGTGGTGATAGATTTATAGCAGCACATTGGCAGAATATTGAGAAAGTACATACAAACAGTGTATACCTAGAGCAGCATAGAAGTCGTTTCCAAGAAAAGGAAAGCCTGGTCTGTTGGCCAGTGCTATCATTCTGAAGTCAGGGTGAACTGGAATAACAGCAGAATCACTTGAGGTGTGATGACCTGCAAATAACGCAGCAGCACAGTAATCCAAGGCATATTATGTGATGGTGTACGCTAAAAAGGACTAATAATGTATTGTGAACGGCACTTGTGGTATACTTCCGTGAATATTTGTTTCGGACTGATTGGGATAAATATGGGCACCATACAACATACAGTGCCGGACTCTAGGATGTCATCCCTGTATACTAAGTACTACCAATATTCTTCCTCCATACATTCTCTATGGGAGGAAAACAAATGTGGGGTTTATTTCTGCTTTTGTATGGCTTT